AAGGAGGGGGAGGGAGGGGGGAAATTCTGAAGAGGAGGCAACTTCCTAAAATGCTGAGGAGACTACAGGAACAGAACTCTTGAGCTGTGGATAGTGAAGCAGAAAGTATCTGACTATAGAGTAAAAAGAGGGTAAACGTGAGATACTTGTACCTTTTCTTCAGTGTACTCCACCACATGCATTATAAATAATAATAGAAAGACTAAATTACATTTTTGTTTAAGGATGGCTTTTTAAGTGGGCCAAGTGTAATTTCAGCAGATTTATGCCCAAAATAATTTCTCTCCTTTTTCTTACCAAGAACTGAAATTCCTAACATAAGGAACAATCTCTCATTTCACAATTAAAAGGAAAACTCAAAATGCAAATACCAAGGTTCTCGAAACAACATACGGTGGTTACGTTTCTATTAGTATGGATGAACAATATCATATATCCTCCCTAGACAGAGAAAAAAAGAAGTTAAAGACAAAAAGTCATAGCTCCAAGAAATGCAGACATAGTTCAACCTAGAGAAGAGGAAGAAAAAATAGAGTTGGAGACACCAGTGACAAACTATCAGCTTTACCATCTTGTCCAAAAGCAACTCTATCCAGTTTCAAGTCTGCATAGATATCTAGGATCAATGCATGCTCGGATACTGCACCTGAAAGGACCTCTGATCATGAGGCATGCATGACATTTATTAAAACCAGGGCCAGTGAGAGTCCCATAAGATTGAAGGGCACATAAAAATAAGCTCAACAAAGAAAAACATTCTTTAAATTTTTACCTTAAAATTCCATTTAGTTCATTTATACATAGAAAATGTCAGCCTATACTAAAACAGACCTGCTATAATAACAGATTCCACCCATACCACTGTTATTTGCATTTCTGGACGGCCTTTAAAACCACAAATCCAAGTCTAATTAAATATCCATCAGTGAAAGATCATGGTAAAGAATGTAAGATCTAGAGACAGACAATCTGGTGTGAATTCTGGCTTGGCTACTAACTTATTAGTTGTCTTACTCTGTGTATACCCTATAACCACTATTAAGTGTTAATTCCCTCCTCTGTATACAAGGGATAGTATCTGGTTTACAGAATAAAGTGGGTTACATGAGAAAATGTACATAAAGCCCTTAACACAATTTTTGGCACAACAAATGTTAAATAAACATTAGTAATGAAAGTTCTTGTTATTCATGCTATTCTTCTGCTTAGAGCACCTTGGTGGTATCAATGTGATAGAATGTAACAATCCATCCCAATATAGACTGTGGGGTCTTCATTCTTGAAAAAAATTTTCAATTAACTAGCCAATTAATTAATTTAAAAAGCCTAACATCTTATAACTCTATAAATATTCACTTATTTATCTACGTTTTAAGACCAGAAAATTCTACTTAGCTCCACATTTAACCAAAATGATCAATATGGGAAATATTGATAATATCTGTGAAAGACACAAAAAAGTTTGATAGCTTTTGAATATGGAAGTTGGAGAATTCCAAAGCAATAGAACCTATTGAATTAATTCAGACATATATCATGAGTTCACCATTGTATTCCCTAGGACTTAGAGTAAAAACCTGATGAAAAGGGATTAATCTCCATAACTGGTATTACCAGCACCTGGAAAAGCCAGTTGCATAAAAGGATTAACAGAGCAGTTATGCATGGGGCTAATTGCTGTGATTTATTTTAATGACGATGCTGGGACTAAGGACAATCCTGACAAAGTTAGGAACCTCCAGAAATCCAAGCAAAAGGAACCCTCAGGAAGTTGGGGCAGAGTCTAGGCTGGGTACAGGCAAGACCTACATGCCTAACCTCTTCAAGGGCAGGAAATCTAGTCTCATTAGTTCTTTTTCTTTTTATATTAGAGTGTTTTTAATCACAAAACAATGATAATAAAGAAAGCTTGTCCACTCTGAAAAGGGAAATAAAATCCCTTATGTACTTAATAATTTTCTAAGTCACAATGCTGGAAAATACAATATCAGGTTACTTCGAAAGAGTCATTGTACTAAATAAAGCAAAGGCTCAGAAGATATACCTGTGTTCAAATCCCAGTGGAGCCCCTTTATAGAATAATTTGGGGCAAATCACTTACTTTAATAACTGTTTTAAAAAGCTACCTCATAAAGCTGATATCAGGATTTAATGAGAAAAATGCAGGTAAATGCTTAGCACAGGCCCTGGATCATAAAAAAGTCTGAATAGCTCTATAAACTCAATCTTAGAACTAACTTTGCAATGTTATCTGCAAATTTGTGTAATCCAAAAAAATTAAATGGTCTTTGGGCATTATCAACCATCAGCCCTGAGGAGCCAAAAAGATTATGATAAATTTCCCCTTTACCATATGTTACATTTAAATAATGATTTAAATCTTTTCCTCTGCAATTCCAACCTCTCCCAAAGTGATTCAAAGAAGGAGTTTCATTTGTTATGAAGCATTTTTTAAAATCTCTAAACAATAAAATTAAGACATTAATTTAACTTCATAAGACTTTTCCCTTAAATGTATATATATATATCTCACATATATTCACTTAAAGTCATCAGAGTAGGGGATTATTACTTTCTCTATGAACTTTAACCTCAGTGTGCACCATTTCTAATCTAAAATTTTCTCCATTCTATTTAGATTGGCCCAAACTCCCTAGCTAAAACTTAACAAGAAGTTATATCCAAACGTGCCAATGGTCCACACGCAGCCATCCGTGAAATTATTGATTTGGATGAAAAACACAACTGGACCTAAAGGAATTTTTTTAAATTTATGAGGCAGGAGAAATAGCCACTGAATTTTTGACAATGTTTAATTTCAATATTTAACACTGGGGTCTGTAGAGTTTGATTGGTTGGTTGGTTTAGTACTTTCAGTTTTTACTATCTTATATGAAAACTAAAAAGAGTATTATATTTCTGCTTTCTATTCTATATCAATAACTTCTCCTAATGCAGGTTATTTGTATTGAGAAATTGTCTTTCACAGAATGAACTTAACCAAAAACAGAAACCTATGACAGGTCAACGAAGTTTAAAAGTTAAGTCGTGTTATATTTAATCCTTAAATTACATCATACTTATAGGCTAGCTAACCAGAAACCCAACCGGAACTTTCTATTCTCCTAATATATGAAAATCAAATTTTAGATTAGAACCACAGATTTTAATGGTTTACTAGCCTCAAGATCATCTCAGTAACTTCATGGCCAAAAAAATAACCATTAATGAAGAAGAAAAAGTGAAAGTCAAAATGTTTTCTTTACGAAACATTACATATATAAAGTACATTTATTCTAGGTATATATTTTATATTCTTTAAGCTATCTCAAAATTCCTATGTAGAATCTTAGATTTCTTAGCATTTTTACACAATATCCTCAATTCTAAAAGCATCATTTCTTTCAAAGCAAAATTAAGTTAGTTGTCTCCAACCAGTCTTTGTTTAAATTTTTGGCAATAGCAAAATATATAGGACAAAAGTTGAGAGAACAAAATAAAGGTGAAGAAAAAAGTGGGAAAAGGCATAAAGTGATATGAAAATATTCAGAAAACACTGAGTACCCAGCAGTACAGGAAGACTATAAGGCACCCTCCCTTCTATGGAAGAAGTTAAGTACCATGTTGCATTAGGAACAATAATGAAGCCAGAGTATTATAACATATTATAAAATAATCAGATGTACAACACAGGAAATGGGAAGAAAGAGATGGCCATGAAGTAGACTAATGGTGAGAAATCTCATGAAGGAGATGACATTTAAGCTTGAGTTTGAAGCTCAGGTAGAATGATTTGAATAAGCCAGCGAAAGGTAAAAAAGGCACTCCTCACCAAGAGCAACAAAGGTCCTAAATGGAACAAAGCATAATGTCTTGGTCCAGAGCGAAAAGAAAGGTCTGCTTATAATTAAAGGGTTTTTTTTAAGGAAATGCTAACATTTTCCCTTGGATCACAGATTATAATTATTTATTATCATCATATATATTTTAATATTTAATATTAGTATTATCCATATTTTATGGGACAATAAACTGAGACACAGAAAGGCTGAGTGTCTTGCTCAAGGCCACATAATCACCTCCTGAGGAGAATGCAGCACTCCTTCCACTCTACCACCCTTACCGCAGGGGCATGAGGTTGGACGAGCAAGCAACATTATAGAAAAGACTTAATCCATCCACAGAGGCTTGAGAATGCTGGTGAAGTGATGACAATACTTTTTTAAGAACATTACTAATCATGCCACAGTGAACAGGATAGAACTTAACTGACATAGTGATGAGCCAAAAAAAAAAAAAAAAAAATACTTCAGAAGCTGGTGAAGTAATCCTGAGAGAAGTGGTGAAAGCCGGATTAGGGGTTTGCAGTGATATTAGAGAAAGAAAGAAATACATCAGATATGGCCAAAGCAACAAAAAATGGTGACTTGGTGGGTGCAGGAAAAAAAGAATGAAGTCAGAAATTAAAGTATCATCCAGTGAAAAACGGATGGTGTAGTTCATTACATAGCAGTCAGACTCAACAGCTTCCCCTGGCCCTTACTCTCCTGCAAAGCCATGTTTTCCTCCTCACTGGCCATTTTCCAACTTCCAACTCTATCCTTTCATTCATTCATATTTTGCAGGCTGACTGTGGATTGGACAGTGGTCAGACTCTAAGAAACAGAGATTACAGTAAAAGTAATAATGAGAACAAAACCATTTATTAAGCTCTTATTCTATGTATGACAACCACTGTTTTAAATGTTTTATATTAATTAAACTCATTTGATCCCCAGTATAACTCTATAGGCTAAGCAAAAGTTATTATTCCTACTTTGGAGAGAAGGAGGACATAGAATCCATCAAGTGTACACCTCCTTTCCCTGCCTGTCTCCTTTCACCAGATTGATGGAATGCCATTCTGCATTCCCTCAGCCCCCTACCCATGCCTCAGATGTAGCCTAGATGACTCTGTATTATTATCCCTGATTCATATGTATGTTTGTTTGCCTCTCCAGGTTGACTATGAACTCCTCAAGGAGCAAGAACTATATCTTAGTCACCTATGTAAACCCAGGTCAAATTGCATGTGCTCAATAAAACCTGTTGAAGGAATGAATACATTGACGAATATGAACAATCTGTTCCAGCCAAACTGGTCCATTTGGAGTCTCTACCAGCTTGGCATATTCACAGTCCCCACTTCCCAGAACAGTTCTCTCAATTATGTTGCACACATTGAAAAACCCCACTTATCCTTCCCAACGCTCAGCTTAAATTCCACCTGCACCATGTACCAACAAGTTGGAGGAGTTGCAATTTGTTGGGTAGTAATCTCCACTCTAACAATCAACTCTTCATTAATGCTCTCAACCACATTCCCTTTCCCTGCAGAAACTATTTCTTTAGATCATAAACTTGAAGATACAGCTATAAATTTAATTTAAAAAGGCAATTCTCAATATAATAATGAGTGCCAAATCCCTATTCTTTCAATATCTTCAAGCTTCTCAAGTTATTCCTGTTTTATTTTGTTTCCATGGGGAGAAGTTCATGGTAAGAATTAGAGACATTCAGTTCTATCAGACCAAATACACCACAACTGAGAATACATATACACATTGATATACTAAGAAAGTCAAAGTCAAGGAACCAAACTTATAATCAGTTCAACCATCTATTACATGCCTTTAGGAAAAAAATCATCACCTCTCTCAGCTTTAGCTTCCTGAGATACAAATTACAGATGATAACCACCATCTCTATCCTCAGCAGTTTGTTCCAGAGTATTTTACATTATAGTATCACAAAAAGCATTACAAAATTTCATATCATGCATTAATAAAGTTTCAATTAAATACTTCACTAGACAAACTGTTATACCAGATTCTGTAAACAGTACACCTAAGAAAATGTTTTGTTTATTAAGAAACATACAACTATAGTTCATAACTTTTTAAGCAAGTACTCTTTACCATGGATATATATTTTTGCAAGCAAATATTTACTTGTAAACTACCGTATCTAAATTCTCTTTTTCTGGTCAATCAAAACTTATTGTAAGGTACTAGAAATTAGTATTGAGATTAGATTTTTTGGTTCTTGTGCTAAGAATTTCTGTATGCTAGTCTTCATTAAAAAAATTTAATTATGAGGAATTTAGAAACAAAATAACCCAGGATTATGTCATATTTCAGATTTTTTTTGGCTATCATACTCGTGGTTATAGTTTATTGTAAGGCAAGGACACGGAGGGTTCCAAATGTCTCAGGATATGGTACCTTCTCAGTGTTGATATATATGACTATATAGAGAGAGTATTGCCAACCAAGCAAGTTGACCCAAGTCTCCATGTGCAGAAATTTTATTAGGGCTGCATTAGATAAGCATGACTGATTGATTGCCTACCTAGTAGAAACTCAGCCCCAGGTTGGCAGATACATGATACAAATTTCCCACTCTAAAATCACTTGATTGGCATTTCTGGTGTGACCAGTTTCTACCCTACATATTTCAGATTTTTTAATGTTAAAAACAATGAAATCATTAAATTTTAAATTTCTCAATCAATATTTACTTCCAATATTTTAGACAAAATATTAATATATGGGCTGGGGTTGTGGCTCAGTGGTAGAGTGCTCGCCTAGCACATGCAAGGCCCTGGGTTTGATTCTCAGCACCACATACAAATAAATAAAGTAAAGGTATTATATCCATGTACAATTAAAAAAATTTAAAAATATATATTAATATATTTTCACTCTCCAAATAAAAGATTCCCTAACACACACACATACATATAGTTTCCTAAATTGTGCTTTTTAGGCTTTTACTTCTTATATGCAGCAACTCTTGGATGCTAATTAAATTATTTCCATATGTTTTTATTTTCTTTTTGGTTGGTTAAAGGTTTTTACAAGATATTCTTACTATAGCATGATTCTGGTAGTCTTCATGCTACTTGTTGTTCCAATTAATTAAAACAGTTTAAAGCATAAATTATTTAAATCTTATTTTAACCATAATTTTGTAGCTAAATTTTTTTCCCCAAAACTTTGCAAACATTCTGTGCAAACTTAATTAATGCTGAGGAAAAAGGATTTTAATAGTTGCCCAATGTTCTTCAAAAGACAAAAAGAATAATGAAACATGCTCATCTGAACTCCACCCATTTTTCAATTTCAACATAGTAAATCTCCTGTTTTTTCTTAGGGCATATTCAAAAGCATACATATTGGTATTGGTTATTACTGAAGATAATTTATGCAATCATGAGTCAAAGATGCTAAGTTGACAAAAAGAAAACCATGCAAGTAAGCAAACCCTAACATCTGAGAGGCACACCCTCTCAGTATATAAAGGCTTGCCACTGTCCTTGGTAGCAGGCACTCCCTGAGCTCAACAGCATCAACATGTCTGTTCGATACAGCTCAAGCAAGCAGTACTCTTCCTCCCGCAGTGGAGGGGAGGAGGTGGAGGAGGATCATCCCTCAGAATTTCAAGCAGCAAAGGCTCCCTTGGTGGAGGATATAGCTCAGGGGGCTTCAGTGGTGGCTCTTTTAGCCGTGGGAGCTCTGGTGGAGGCTGTTTTGGGGGCTCTTCAGATGGCTTTGGAGGAATAGGAGGAGGTTATGGTGGAGGTAGCTTTGGTGGAGGCTTCGGAAGCAGCAGCTTTGGTGGGGGCTATGGAAGTGGGGGCTATGGAAGTGGGGGCTATGGAGGAGGCAGCTTTGGAGGTGGCAGTTTCGGTGGGGGCAGCTTTGGTGGAGGTGGCTATGGAGGAGGCTTTGGTGGTGGATTTGGAGGAGATGGTGGCCTTCTCTCTGGAAATGAAAAAGTAACCATGCAGAATCTGAATGACCGGCTGGCTTCCTACCTTGACAAAGTTCGGGCTCTGGAAGAATCAAACTATGAGCTGGAAGGTAAAATCAAGGAGTGGTATGAAAAGCATGGCAACTCAAGCCAGTGGGAGCCTCGGGACTACAGCAAATACTACCAAACCATTGAAGAACTGAAAAATCAGGTAAGGAGCATTTTAAAATCCAACTTTAAATTTAATTCTATCCCTGTAATATGGGTAGATGAATCTTAAGTATAATATAGCTGTTCACTGTGATTTTCTTGCTTCCAAATAAATCCAGTCTCATCAAGGATAAATTGAATGAAGGTATGGTCATGGCAATCTTCATCCAGCATGTGTTTTGTCTGTCTTACATGATGCAGATTAACAAGAAATTTTAGATTTTAATGAACATATAATGAGCCCACAGTTAAATATGCCAGATCATTTAAAAATGTAAGAGCTGAAAAATATTAAATGAATAAGAACAAAAATATTATTAAGACTGATAACAAATAAGCCATATTCAATAGCAACATTGCAAAATCCATGAAGTCTCCTTTATGGAATTGGGATATTGCTTAACTCCAGGGAATCTGTGAATTGTACCTACCAGTTCAGAGTATATCTATTTAGAAATATTTATAGCAAATGGAACAAATACAGGGGTGAGCCAGTCAAAAGTTGGTTGAAATACATAAAAATCACTAAGTATAAAAGAGGCTAATACATTAATAGGATTACATATAGTTAGTTTTCAGAAAGGGATGACACAGAAATAGAATAGTGTAGAAACTTCAAGATAGGTTTTTAAATTTAAGTTTGTGGGTAAGCTTAAAATATTTTATATTTAAAAATAATCCACACAAAAAGTTTTTGGAAGAGAACAACATAAAAATGCAGCTTATCTATGCCACTATAAAAGCCATATTTGCATCTGACCTTTTCTTAAATGACTGTTCCTCCTGATCCTCAACCTAACAACGGACAACGCCAACGTCCTGCTTCAGATTGACAATGCCAGGCTGGCAGCTGATGACTTCAGAATGAAGTAAGCTAATTGAATGTGCAATACTATCAATACAAATACATCAATTGTTTGTAATAGTGACTTTAGATGCCATAGTAGCATTTACATTTTCCTGAATTCATTCAAAGTGACAGAACTGGAATTATCTGAGAAAGTTTCAATTTCAGAATTACCTTCCTGGTAAGCTTTAAAGGAAGAAAATGCATTTAAAGTAATTGCTAATCTTCCTATGTGAGTTAGTATATGGTAAATATTGCAAGGACATGAAATCAACTCTAAATTTTTTAAAGTCTTTTTCCACATACAACTCCTTCTTAAGAATTGTATCCAATATATGTATCATGCTTGTTGCAGGTATGAGAATGAGGTAACCCTGCGACAAAGCGTGGAGGCCGACATCAACGGCCTGCACAGGGTGCTGGACGAGCTGACCCTCACCAAGGCTGATCTGGAGATGCAGATCGAGAGCCTGACTGAAGAGCTGCAGTACCTGAAGAAGAACCATGAAGAGGTGATACAAAATTATATTTCCCCCAATTTTTCAAAAGGTTCATTGTGGTCATGGTGCAGTCATTAAATCTTTTTTTGTTCCTCAAACAGGAAATGAGAGACCTTCAGAACGTATCTACTGGTGACGTGAATGTGGAAATGAATGCTGCCCCAGGTGTTGATCTGACTGAACTTCTGAATAACATGAGAAGCCAATATGAGCAACTTGCTGAAAAGAACAGAAAGGATGCTGAAGCCTGGTTCAATGAAAAGGTAAGTCAACCACCCTTCACAGTGAAGCCCATGTAAGTTCTGTTGTCATGTCCGAGGTTTCTCATATTTTCCCATTTTTATAATTCCAGAGCAAGGAACTGACTACAGAAATCGATAACAACATTGAACAAATGTCCAGCCACAAATCCGAAATTACTGAATTGAGACGCACGGTTCAAGGTCTAGAGATTGAACTACAGTCCCAACTGGCCCTGGTATGTTAAGTCTTGAGACATGACTTCCATTTTATCATAGAAACACAGAGCTGAGGATAAGAAAGCAGAAATAAAACTGGAACTCTATGCTAATGGAGGAAAAGAACTATTAGTATCAGTATGAAGTGCTGAGATTGAAATGTTGCCATTACATAAAACACTAATTTTATTCATTTCCCTTTTTCTCCAGTAGTATCTTATTAAATAATTTGATAAGCTTCAGTATGCCAATTGAACAACGAGGTCATTAAGCAACAACAAAATCCTCTTTT